TTATGTTTGAAACGGGAAAGCACTATCAGTCATAGTATACAAATAATTGTATATTGTTTTACTTGGATTAATTTCCTTAAATTTATTTCATTCTGTTTTTTGTTTTTTTTATTTAAGGGGTCTGTTATGGTCCGGTTCCTTGTACCACGGTGATAGTCCAAGGTAGAACCAATAATGAAGAACTCGAACACGGATATGGAATAACACAGATATATTACAAACAGGAATATATACAGAGAAGTAGAAAAGTGTTAGTATGAATAATCAGGTTTAGTAGTAATTGTCTGAACGCGACTCTGTTTCGGACTGCCTCTGACTCGACTGACTGACTCGCTCCCTCTGACTGACTGACAGACTCCTGACGGACTTCACTCCAGACTTCAGACTGACCTCCCTGCTTCCTCTTGAGGCGCAGTATTTATTACGTATGGAATAGCCCATTATGTTATTATGGGTAAGGTCCCATAACAGGGTCATATGTTTTCGGTCGTGTACTCTCCGACCTTCCTCGTGTGTCTGAATGCAAATGGATTTTATTCTGGGGAAGAATGCGCTTCCTCGTTCGCTCTTTGCGTCTATGATCTTCTGACTGCTACCTCTAGGTCTCCGCTTTGTTCTTGTCGAGCTTCAACTGATGGAAAAGTAGGCTCCATGAATCTCAGAGAGATTTATACTGATAAAAGTTGGAAACATCCGCGATCATGTTGTCATGAAATTGTATTTATTTCCGCAACACTTTTATAAGATCCGCGGATAAAGTCTTGACTAGTTTTAAGTATGTATATCACACTTTGTAATTAGCCACGGAAAAATCTCTCCTTTTTCTTTCTTTTTTTTCACTTCTTTATTATAAAAAAGTCCCGCTGACAGAATTAAAATGTGAATAAGAGAAACGCAGTTACGTAATTCTTTTATCATCCTTACTTTTCGTTAGGGTGTAGATGTAATAATTTTAATATTCACTTGGACGCAATTTCCTCCATAATAGTTGCGTTTTTCTCACGTTTTTCCAGTCAAAGCATTCTTTTAAAAAATATCCCCGAAGTGACGGAAATAAACTTCAAATGCCATTCCGTTATCCGTGTCGTAACAAATTTCCCCAATTTAATTTTCCGCAATATCGGTGTAAACAAAAAGTTCCCTAGGGAGCTGGGCATTTTTGAGAAGTAATTCCAGTAACTGAGTTTGTTGTGCCTGCGTTTTCTATTGTTGTTGTTGTTGTTGTTGTAATTGTTGTTACCGTTGTTTTTCTTGTTGTAGTTGCTGTTAGTGAAATTACTGTTGCAGTTGTTGTTGATGTAATTCTTATTGCTGTAGAATAAGTTTTAGTTCCTCCATTCTAGTAATTCATTTTCGTCGCCGCTTGAGTTACGAGACCCTGCGTCGCCACTGTTATAATGGTTGACGTGTGGGCACCTCGAGCTGGTGCAATGGTTAGCTAGTTTGTCTCGCTAGAACAATTACGACAGAGCAGCGAGTTCTATTCTCACTGGGTGTCCCCTTAATTTCGGCCTTGTGCCACATCTAAGCTATGCTTGGAAAATAACTATAAAGGTTGACGTGGTGGTAATAAGGAAACCAAACATCGGAACGCAGTTCGACGGAAACTCTTTATTTACACTTTAGTACAAGAGAGGAATCTGCTCGATTGAAGCTATTTAGCAACGCGCAAACAAAATGTGACGCGAACGTCGAGTTTAATATGGGTTTATCGACAATTCTCCATTTAAGGGATGCCTCAGGCGCTGGGTAATTCCCCCAGTCCCCTCTCCTTTGAGAGGGGTTCTGCCTGGGAGCTAATGCTGTTTGAGCTAATTTTATTGGCAGAGGTGCGAACTCAACTGCTGTCAGCCATACGATACTTTGTTCGTTTAACCTGCCACGAGTTGTCGTTACTTTCCTTTAAGTAACCCTGGGGCTAGTCCATTCGACTTGATTGGGGATATCCAACAGATCTCCAGCTTCCTTAGGTGATCCTCGCTATAGAAGTTGAATAAATCAGTGCCAAATTAACACTCATAGGATATACTGAAGGACCGAGGTGCGGAAGGAAAAAAGATACTAACCTACCCAATGTTTTTTATTTGAATAGCGGAATCAACGGCGACAAAGAGATGTTAGAGTAAAAAGTTGCTTCAAGAAGTTGGGCAGCGACATGATTGCCCACATTTGGAAAGAACAAAATACATTTAAAAAAAAAGCTTATACCACAGTCTATTTCGACTAGCCTCTACGTCTTGGTTTCTATTGGTTCCTGCTGAATACATATTTGATAACCTTCTGAAAATCTCAAATTGAACAATTTATTCAACTCCCCCTTGGAGAAGAGGCTATATTGATGTGCCACTGTAAGACTTAATCTCTATGCCTGGAAAAATGTGTCACATGAGTTGATGGTAAAAAATAAATAGATGCACGTTGGTTTGCCGCCGTTATATATTTTTTTTAAATAAACGCGAAGATGAAACAAGTATGTTAATAAATATAATTATAATTATTTTATTATTCCGTATGAGCTAAATAATTTTGTATAATTTTTTTTTAATAATCTGTCTTACAAATACAACTTAAAATAGGCGAAATTAATAATAACAATGATAATATTATTACCTCATAATTTTGTATCCTGAACCCAAATGAAATGAACCCAACGGATTTATGTTTGGTGGTTAATAATTAATTATTTGAAATTTTTGGAATTAGTATTGTCCAGCGGCAGGGCCAGACGGAATTGTAACAGAAATGCTGACAGGCTCAGAGGATTTAGGCATAAACAAGATCACAGAAATAATAAATGAAATCTATAACAGTGAGGACGTAACGGAAGATCTCAGTAGATCAATCTTTATAGCACTGCCTAAGAAACCAGGCGAAAATAAATATGAATTTCACCCAACAATCAGCCTAATGAGCCACGTAACAATTCTTATCATCCGACTGCTGATGACTAGGGCACACAGCAGAATGAGGCCAGAGATAGGACAAGAACAGTGCGGGTTCGTTAAAGATACCGGAACAAGGAACGCGATATTCATGATCAGAATACTATCAGAAAGAACAATACAAATGCAGAAGGACGTGTATCTATGTTTTATCGACCACGCAAAGGCGTTCGACAAAGTACGCTACAAAGATCTTTTATAATTGATTAGCAACTTTGATATATTTGGGGAAGACATTAGAATAATCAGGAACATATACTGGCAGTAAATGGCTTGCATGCGCATAGAGAATGCGTTCAGCAGATATACAAACATAGAAAGAGGCGTACGGATTTATGCAACCGTGTAAGGCAATTCTGAGAGAATTGGAAGTCCTATCGGGATTAATCATTGGAGGCCACAATCTTAACAGCATATGATACGCAGATGACACAGTACTGAGAGCAGACACGGAAAAGAAATTACAAAACCTCCTAAGAATGGTAGCGAAGGAGAGAGAGGGGAAAGGACTAAGCATAAACTACAAGAAGACCGAATGCATGCTCATCAGTAAAAGGGTGAACCCGAAAAGCGATTTACAGATCAGGGACACTAAAATCAGGCAAGTGCGGAAATTTAAATATCTGAGAAGTGTTTTGGCACAGAACGGTAAGTGCGACACTGAGATCCGTAGACCTATTGGGCTAGTCAAAAACGCATTCCAAAATCTAGGCAGAGTATTACGAGCCAGGAGGATTTCTTTAGTAACAGAGAAAAGAGTACTGAGCTGCTACGTGACATCTGTCCTCCTTTACAGAAGCGAATGTTGGATGTTCTTCTCAAAGAAGAGACTCGAGGCAATGGAGGTATGGTACTACAGAAGGATGTTATGGACCGAGTGTGTGAGGAACGATGAGGTTTTGGAGATTGTGCAAAGTGGGAGCTTATCCTTAACATCAGGAAGAGGAAGCTGAAATTTCTGAGACACGTAATGAGAAAGGGGGCTTGGAGAATCTGATACTCACAGGTCGAATAGAGGGGAGGGGAGACAAAGGGAAGCAACGCATGTCTTACCTAGCGGGCTTAAGCAAGTGGATGACAGAATACAGCCTGGGAGGAAGTAGCAAAGGAACAAAATTTACTGAGAGCTGCAAGGGTTAGGGGAAATGGAGAGCCATAAACGTCTACGTCCTGAAGGGACACGGACGTAAAAAATAGAATGGAAGTATGAATGATAATCCTATTATTTCTCTCTGTACGAACTGTACCGGGGAAAGAAGTCTTGCTTTTTACAACTCAAAAATATTGAAAACCTTCAGCAAAACATGTAAAGATAAATTCTGACACAGCATTCCAGCAAGTGTGTAACAGGTTAACCTTTGGTGTGTAAACTTCTGGCATTTTGTGGTCAGAAAAGGCAAGAAATAAAAGGATTAACCATCAATTGCAAGAATACGGTGAGTAGGGTCATTAGCAAAAGGAAAAACTCAAAATGCCTGTTACGAATTGGAGATATAAACATCAAGGAAGTGCAGAAGTTCAAAAAACTGGGAAGTGTTTTAACAGTGGGTGGACAATGTGGCACCGAGTTCCAAACACGTATTGAAATAGCAAAATAAAGAAGTTTTCCAACAGCTAAGCAAAGTGCTGAGAAACAGAATAATTTCATTAGAAACAAAGAAAAGAGTGATGGATTGATATGTGATATCCATCCTCTTATATGGAGAGAAGAAGAAAACTGGAGCAGCCGAAATGTATTTCTACATATGGATACTGAGAATTCCAAGGACGGATCAAGTAAAGAACAAGGCAGTCTGAAAGAAAATGGCAACAGAAAGACCATTTCGACTCAGAATGAGGAAGATATAGCTGAAATTCCTTTGATGCATAATGAGGAAAGAGGGTTCGGAAATTTAAACCCTCACATGACATACTGAGGACAAGACAAATGGGATAAAAACAATGACGAGCTTGTGTGAATGGATGTTGGAACGGGTGGCGCGGTGTGGGGGGGGGTGCTTAGCAAAAGGAGAAAAATGTTGAGAGACACAGGAGAAAGTTTTGGAGAGCCATGATCTCCTATGTCCTGGGGGGACCCGGCACACAGAAGAAAAAGAAGAATGTGAATGTGAGTACGAAGAAGAAATAGAAGAAGAAAAATGAGAAAAAGAATGCGAAGAAGAAGAATGCGAAGAAAAAATGCGAGGAAGAAGAATTTGAAGAAGAAGAATGCAAAGGAGAAAATGAAGAAGACTTATGAAAAGAAGAATGCAAAGAAGAAGAATGTGAAGAAGAATGCGAAGAAGAATGCGAAGAACAATACAAAAAAGATAGATGATAAGAAGACGTATGCAAAGAAGAATACAAAAAAGAATGTGAAGATGAATGCAAAAAAGATAGATGTGAAAAAGACGTAGGCAAATAAGAATGTGAAGACGAATGCAAAAAAGATACATATGAAAAAGACGCATGCAAAGAAGAATACAAAGAAGAATGTGAAGAACAATACAAAAAAGATAGATGATAAGAAGACGTATGCAAAGAAGAATACAAAAAAGAATGTGAAGATGAATGCAAAAAAGATAGATGTGAAGAAGACGTATGCAAATAAGAATGTGAAGATGAATGCAAAAAAGATAGATGTGAAGACGACGTATGCAAATAAGAATGTGAAGATGAATGCAAAAAAGATAGATGTGAAGAAGACGTATGCAAATAAGAATGTGAAGAAGAATGCAAAAAAGATAGATGTGAAGAAGACGTATGCAAATAAGAATGTGAAGATGAATGCAAAAAAGATAGATATGAATAAGACGTATGCAAATAAGAATGTGAAGATGAATGCAAAAAAGATAGATATAAATAAGACGTATGCAAATAAGAATGTGAAGATGAATGCAAAAAAGATAGATGTGAAGAAGACGTATGCAAATAAGAATGTGAAGAAGAATGCAAAAAAGATAGACGTGAAGACGTATGCAAAGGAGAAGAAGAAGCTAAATTCTAAGAGGCAGAAAAAGAAGAAAATATTAGGATGAAGAAGAAAAAGAAGAAAATCGATTTTATTTGTGACTCGTTTTCAATCCCGTTTCAATCATAAAGAAGAGAGGATGAATTTAAATAAATGAACTGCAAAAAGTTGTCATCGATTTTTCAGTCATTAAGAGCATTGAAGCCGTTTGTTTGGTCCCTTATTTGCATGTTTAATGTTTAGATATATTTCTGTTTATTTTCGTGAGGACCGACAATAGATCCAGTTAGCTTGTTCACTATTTAATTCCGTGCTCTCTCAACAGCAATAGAGAATATTTTCCCCGATGGAAAAACTTCTATAATATCTGTTCAATTATTTGCATCCTGGGGCGAACATGAATCGTTTCAAAGGCCAGTAAAACCCTAGAAAAAAAATAAATAGTTACATCGTTATCTCAAAGCATCGAAGTTTAAAATTGAATAGCTGAAGGTAGAAAAATGGTCAAATTGTTTGCAGTCGTACATGGGTTCTGAATAATTCTTGGTTATACCTACTTTTATCTGCTGCTTTACCTTAAGACTTAGGCGATCATGACTCTCCACACTTTACTGTCTCTGTTCTGTCTTTTTGTTCTTTCTCCGAAACTCTTCTTCTACCATCCATTTCTCAAACTTTTTCAAGTGTGCTGAACCCTGCTTTCCTCTGTTCCACTAAATCTGTCCCCAAAAATCTGTCCTGTGAGCATCAGATTTTCCAAGCCCTCCTTCATCATTGCAGTCCCCACAAATTTCAACCGCCTCTTCTGGCTGTTAAATATGTTTCCTTTTTTGTTTCCATTTTCTCCTAAAAGTCTTTGTTGCTCACATGTTCGGTCAACGATATCCTCGGCATCAGATCACGCTTCCCAAAATCTGACCAAATAGAAATTTGTTATACTTTATTTTAATATTGTGAAGCGTTGTGGTCCATCCTAAAACTATTAAACACACTCTTATAATATTACATTCAATTAGGTGTGTGTTTGCATAGGTTTCCAACGATCTTCATAAATAAATAAACGGCAAATTCTATCAGACATTCCTTATGCCTGAAACAACACTAACTCGAGTCACACTTGTTCTATACAGACATACTAACAGCATGGCCCGGCGTTGACCGTGCTTGATTAAAAAATCGTACGACTCATACAGCAATCGCTATCACTTGACTTAAAATAATTTGCCCATCCTTGCTTTTAAAGGAGTGTCCTTTGCCGTGCTGATGTTGCTACATGCCTTACTTCTTGCCTATCTCACATTGCGAATTTTTTCTAAGCTCTATACTAAACATTAAATCTCTTACGAAAAAAGAACTAAACAAAACGAACACAAAACGTTCAGCTTTAAAAAAAGGACTCGTAACTGGAAAAACCGAATGAAAAAAGAATGTTAACAACAAATACTTTCTCACACCCAAACCCAGTTCTGCGGAATCAGAATCAACGTTGAGTTTAAGCAAGCGAATGAGCCAATTGGAGTAAAGTGCCATGCAGATTTCAATTTTTCCCACTTGTGACGAATGCAGCTTTCGTTTTTTTTTTGTTTTTTTGTTTTGCATGCTAGCATGCTAGTTAACATTTGTCTCAGTCAGCTGTTGGCTCTCACGCTGGCCAATAGAATCTTCCTGCCTATTCGTGGCATCCAGCTATAGGCTCTCACTCTGGCCAGTAGACATGACTACATGAAAACTGGAGTAGAAGCATGAAAAAAATCAATTATTTCCACTATCGATGGGAGTTGGGAAATGCAAAGTCGGTCTTGGCCTTCTCGCTAACTTGGAGAATATGCATGTAAATTTTGGTGCAAATCCGTCGAAAATTGCGACCGTGCATTCGTTATACACATACACACACACACACACATATCCTGCCTTTTATAAATAGAGATTACACCTTTATTGAATCAGGATAATTCTGGGGTTGCAAATCTGATGCTTGAACATCCAGCATTTGGATTTGTATCCGGATGAGAAGGGAACAGTTAAAAATTCAAATTTTAAAATAACTGAAAAAAATTAGTGATTTTAAATGTTATTAATCTATGTTGACATTAAAGTAACACAAAAACTTTGTGAATTTAAATTATTTTGTTTTAAATTCAATTTAAAATATCTCCGAAACTTTTTGAATTGATGAAATCAATGTCATGTCTTCAAAATACAAAAAAAAAGTTTTCTTTATTAAAAACTAGTTCAAAAGCTGCACTCTGTGCGAACTTTTAAGCTACCTCTTGTCTAATTTAGAAAACAGCAATGATAATTTTGAAGAAATAACTTTGCATTCTCCAATTCACTTCAAAACCTTACCATAAGTCCAGTTCCGACCAAAAGACAGATTTGGGCCGAAATTCCAATTCAAACCAAAAATTATGTTCTGCAAATCATAAACTCCGTGAAACGTTAAAAATCACAAACTCTGCGGAACTTCAAAAGGTGACGTCACGAAACCTCTCATTTTAACAATGACGTTCGCATTGAATAACAAAGTTCAAAAGCTACTTTAGTAAAGTAATTAATTAATAGAATTATTTTTTAATCTATTTTTTTAAATTTCTTATTTCCGCACCACACAAAACAAAAGGTTAGTAAATAAAACCGAATACTAGAAAGAGCAATAACATTTGTTGGACTAAAGAAGTTACATTTCTTGAAGAACTGTTAAAAGAGAAATGTTTTCTGAATTTCAACCAACATTAACGGTCACTGAACGATGAAGATTTACTGTATAGCAGGGGTCGGCAACTCATACGACCCAGCGGGCCGGATCGTGTTATAATGACGGGTCGCGGGCCGGACGAAGGCCATTAATGAAAAATTAAGGAAAATTACATATGCAGACCCCTGTCAACCTAAATATTTAAAACCATAATGAAAATAAATATTGAGAAATCAGAAAAACAAAAGAAAATCTAAAATTAAAAAACACCTAACAAAAATTACTTTTCCTCAAGGAACGTCAAAATACTTCAAAGTGAAAAAAATCAACCAAAGTGAAATGGATGAAATTTTAACCTGTAGGTTTGAAACTGTTATTGAAAATTGTTCCACAAACGAACCACACACACACACACACACACATCAAACAAAAACGAAGCACATATACCCATACATACGAGTACAAATAGTTGCAAACATATACACTTACGTATGTACACATGCGGTATCATCCACACATTCATGAGGCATGTATGTATAATGCGTGTATGTTTAACTGTCTTTAGATTTCTTCTACCTTGCATGTCAGTCCCTCCCTGGCCTCTTTCACTTTATCGTTCCTTTCGCTTCTGTTATCTTTTAATGTAGCCAAGGGTCATAACAAATATGTATCCATTATTTGACATTAAACGTAGGCAACGCAACTTGGTAAAATAAGCCTCATGAAAGATAACTGGCAGATAGTCTAATTCGAAAGCCTCGTCTCTCATGTTAAAAATAGAGTCAATGGTAATCAGGCTCGCGGGCCGTTCAAAATGCCTTCACGGACCGTTCAAAATGCCTTCGCGGGCCGGATACGGCTCGCGGGCCGTAGGTTGCCGACCCTTGCTGTATAGAAGCACGATGTTCATTATCATAAACGCTGATTTTAGTAGATACACGTGTTTGAAGAGATATATCGGTTCGTTTTTGTTTGTTCGGTTTTTTGTTTTGTTTTTAGGCTTACGCCTAGATCACGTTAAACACCGGTTCCTGTGCGATCAGAGAAGTTAAGCAATGTTGAGCCTAGTCAGTACCTAGCTGGGTGACCGCTTGGGAATGCCACATGCTGTAGCCTTGTATCTCTGCGCGGTATAATGGATAATGGCTCAGAAATGTTAATCGGAGAGTCGAGTTCTAATTCCAGTCGGGTTCGTTATATTCACTTGCGCGCAAATACTCTTGGGAATGGTATAAATCCGCATACTTTCTCTCCTGCTATAGGCCAATTATCATTAAAACTTTATTATCTCAAAAAAGATTCTTACAATCTAAAAGTATTTTGAGTGCCTTCTTTCTTTTCTTTTAGATATCACGCCTTTTCAAGATGAAGACAAACCTCTCCCTAGATTCCTATATATTGTCATGATTTCTTTAGAAACATATTGGGGTGGTTCCACCCTTCCTTCTCCAATGTTTTAAATTCAGAGTCCTCTTTAATAGCAAGACTCGCTACCACTCAAGGCTAGAGTGAGCCCAGTCTACACTTCCATTTAACCTATAGCTGCTTCCTTTCTTATGGGCTTTAGTGCAAATAAATATAACATACTACGTAGGGATTACGGCCACATCACGTTGAAACACCGGTTGCCGTAAGATTACCGAAGTTAAGCAACGTCGAGCCTAGTCAGTACCTAAATGGGTGAATATCAGGTGTTGTAATCTTGGATGTGCGTGTAGTGTAATGGATAATGTCACAGAAATCTTAATTGGGAAGCTGACTTCCAATTCTTGTTGAGTTCCTTATATTCACTTAAACGCAAATACTCTCGGGAACGTTATGAATTCAATTCTCTTCTGCCCTCCTATGGTTTAATTATGTAGATTAGTACTACTAAAACTTTATTATATTAAAAATATTCTTATAATCTGAAAGTATTTTCTGGCTTTAAATACCACCAAAAGGGTTGATAAGCCATAGAAAACGAATTAATCAACATTTTATCTATAAGTGTATTTTTTTTAATTGGTATCACCCCATGCAAGGCAGTAAAGCCACTAAGACACAAGGCGTTACAGGGTGTGCAAGAATTAGGAACAGAAACTATAATAATGAGCGGCAAGAGGAAAGAGTAATCAGGAGAACAGAGGATAGCGATTGACATTGCATTTAAATTTTTGCAGATTAAAGTTGGCTGGAAAGAATCGAACCGGAAGGAATTTACACAAGCGAGAAGTGCGAGAAAAGAAACTGTTAGCATAAACTTTACGGCTGTACTTAGCCAACTCAACTGTATATTGATGTGATCTCGACGGCAGTCTAGTACTACGCTTAAAGTCTAGGTACTATTGCAAAGAGCCCATCTGAACAATTACCACGAAAGTGTTTATAGAAAAGACGCAGAAAGGCAAGCTTTCGGCGGTGGGAAAGTGACTGAAGCCGAACTGCCAGACCAGGACTAACAGTATTGCTGATCCTTTGGTTTTTATCAAGGAGATCGAGGTAAATAGGAGGGGCACCGAACCAGATGGAGCAGAAATATTCTAAGCATAGACGAATGGTAGACTTAGATATGCAAGAGAAAAATTATCTAGCACGACACAGTAAACCAGCTTTCTTAGCAGCTAACCTAGCAATGAATTAAATAAGGACGTTAGCAAGAGAAGGCGTAATGAACCATTTTTACTAGAGGTTAGCCTCTGTCATAAAAGGCAGAGAGGTGTCTCTCAGGAAGATGTGTTTAGTCATAGAGACAAGCCATCTTTTACCCCAGTTAGCAGGCTTGATTGTAACAATAACGCAGAAAGCTACATATCTGTTGTTCAACATACTAAAATAAGTCCATTACTCTCACATAACGAGTTCCGTGACCCATTAGGTTAATAATGGTATCATACCTTCTGAAGCCAGGGTAGCAGTAGTGTGTCTAAGGCAAAATAGCTTGACTGAGATCCCTCTTTATAGGTTGGTTTAGAATTCTGAGTTTTTCTTCTTCGAAAACTGCTTTCCACCCCAAACTGAAAAAAGTTCAATCAACCCTGCCATTTAACGAACCATATATAGAACTTTCGAAATAATTTCCCGCGAACGTGAACGTAAAGCACTCGGCTGAAATTCGAAGACGACTCGACGTTTCCTTTTTGAGTCGCTAACCATTACACTATCCATACAAACGTCCATCACTGAACTTGTTTATCAAGTTCTAGGTAAGAAAGGCGAAGATTGGTCTGTGACTCTAGATATCTCGAAGACGTTCGACAGGGTTTGCCATACTGGCCTTCTACGCAAGCACCATTCCTACAGTGTCACAGGACGAACGTTTGATTTAATCCAATCATTTCTATCAAATCGTGAAATGAAGGTCGTTTTGAATGGTCTCGCTTCCAGATCCTTTCACACGATTCTATCCTGTGTCCTACGCTGTTTTTGATCTTCATAAATGATCTCCCCTATGACATTAGTACCCAATCAGGTATTTATGCAGATTACTTTACCATTTACTCCTGTTTTAATAGCAAATCCGTCAGACCTGACAAAGTAAATCAAGAATCTTGAAAAGGACCTCCAATCAGAAATGACTTGTGAATGTCAACGCCTCCAAAACAAAACTGCATTAATTTAACCGCCATTAAGAAACTTTTCTGCACACATTGAATCAGTTGCTGCATTTATTGTAAAAAAAGTTGGGGTTTTTTCTCGTTAGAATCCATCTTGCACATTTACAAATCTACCATTGAATACTGTAGCAATATCTGATCTGCTGCTTTTTTCTATACATCTCGAGATTCCTGATAAAATCAACAGAAGGATCAATAATCTAATTCGACTTCAGTCATATTCTCACCTACGTGGCGTGGCTTCAGTTTGTCTTTTCTACAAATATTTTCATGGCTGCTCTGACGATCTTTTTCCCCTGGACTACATGAATTTAAGCGTTTCTATTAAATTGGCATCTAGATTCCACCGGTTTACTACTAAATACAACCGTCACTTCTACGCTAACGGTTCTTTTTCTCGCACTCCCCACTTGTTGAACCTCCTCTTCAAAAATTTAAATGCAACATAAGCTGCCATCTTCTGTTTTCTTGAATTGCGCTCATCTTTTTCTTTTCTTCAAACCTTCCTATTCTTAATCATCTCTTTCACTTTCACTACCTGTAATCCCATGCTAATTGTTGTGTTTTTATTTTGCATTGTTGCGTGAAAAATAACTCCGAAAATGTTAGGTAAAAGCACTAAAAGCAGCGATGAAAGGTCTAAGCAAGCAAGGTTTCGCTAGGTTTCCAACAAAAGTGGCAAGTGCTGCATCAACAATTTCAATAAACGAACTGAAGTTGTTAAGCATCTTACTTTTCAAGACCTTCTCTCTGACGAACAATATGGCTTCCGTTTCGCCAGGTCTACCGCTTATGCGTTAATGACCATCACTGAATTTCTATATCAAGCTCTACGTAAGAACGACGAAGCTCGGTCTGTGGCTGTAGATATCTCGAAGGCCTTTAACAGGGTTTGGCATGCTGGACTTCTACACAAGCTCCAGGGTTACGGTGACACGAGAAGAATATTTGGCTTAATTCAATCGTTCATATGGTGCGTTAATGACCATCACTGAATTTCTATATTAATCTCTACGTAAGAACGACGAAGAATGGTCTGTGGCTGAGGATATCTCGAAGGCGTTTAACAGGGTTTGGCATGCTGGACTTCTACACAAGCTCCAGGGCTACGGTGACACGAGAAGAATATTTGGCTTAATCCAATCGTTCATATCAAAACGTTAACTAGAGGTTGTGTTGAATGGGCTCGCTTCCAGATCCCTTCATGCAAACGTGGGTGTCTCCCAAGGCCCTATCATGGATTCTACGCTGTTGCTGATATTTATCAATGATCTCCCTGATGCCGTTAGGTTCCCAACTAGGTTAAACTTGTACTTACTTCTGCCTCGGAAGCAAATCTCTCAAATCTGACAAAGTAAATCCGTGGTTAACTGGGGCAAGAAATGGCGTGTTAATGCTAACGCCTCCATAACAAATATGCTCTAATTTAACAGAGATCCTTTTATTCCTGCCATCAGCATAGCTGATGTTAAACTCTAGGAGAATAACACACTATGTCTTCTTGTATCACGTTTTCCACTCACATGAAGTGGAGCTACTATATACAATCAATAGCTGTATCTACTGCAAGGAAATTAGCGTTACTGTGTCCTGCCAAAACGTTTGTCTCGGTAGAATGTATTTTGCGCATGTAAAAATCTATCCATATATTGAATACAGTTGCTATCTCTGATCTGACGCACCTGCTCTACATCTAGATATTATTGATAAAATCCAAAGAAGGGCCTGTAAGGTCCGTGTCGGCGATGTTGAGTAGAAGTAGATGTTTATGTATTGTAGAAGGAGAAGAATACATGTTGGTAGAAATTTTCCTGATAGCCGGTCTAACTACATGAGAAAGTTGGACTTTAATTAAGTCCAAAGAAGGCAAAGAAAAACAAACATAAGACCGATAAATATATGTAAACAAATATATGTATTAATAACAAGAAATGTTACAAGTTGCATGGACAGAGTGTGTGTGGTGAATATTATATGTGTGTGTGCTGTGTTGTAGTGAGTGTTCGTACGTACGTGTATTATTCTTAGCGTGTTCCCAGCATTTGGGAAACGCTGTATCTGTGAGCGTTCACATCTGCGAAGTGGTAAGGCTGAAAGCCTGAGGCAAAAAAGAGATTTACCTCATGGTGGCGGCCCAAAGGCCTGAGGGAAAAAGAGGAAGATGCGAAGGGTCATCGAGTATTTATAGCCAGGGAAGAGAGACCCCTGGTGAAAGATTAAGGAACTATAGGAGGAGCTAACTCCGACAGATTTATAATCTAATCGATCTCAAACTCCAGTTACTTAATCACGGACGTGATGTGGCTTTCAACATTTTATTTTCTATAAATATTTTCACGGCAACTGCTCTGACGAACTTTTTCCCCCTGGTGCCACGACTGAATGAATTTAAGAATGCTACTAGATTGGCATATAGGTCCCACACATTTACTGTTAAAATAGCTAAATTCAACACCCACTTCTACTCTAATATTTTCTTTTCTCGCACTTCCCACCTTTGGAACTCTCTTCCTTTTCCTGGCTCTCCTTTTAACTACAATCTTCAAAGCTTTAAATGCAATGTCAAACGCCATCTTCCTTTTGTTCTTTCCTCGATTCTCCATATTCTCAAACTTCTCTTTCACTTACCGATAACCCCTCTCCGTGTTAGTAGTATACAGCCTTGCTTGCGTGAATTGATTAAAAAATAACATACATCAGTTGGTCGTCGATTTCATTGCGATGGCCACACTGTATCATTCTTTATTACTACAGGTAGTTGTACCAGATGGTTACATATTTGTAATTGCTTGATTCGGAGGTCTGCAAAATGGTATATTTTTATCAAAATCATTAGTCAGCAGGAATACCTGAATATTTGGTATAGATGGTATCGAAAATTGCCCTGAATATGATTTATTGTTTGGTGACACTTCATTTTTCCCTATTTTCTGGTGTTTTGCTGGTAATTGGTCGTCTTCAATAATCATCAGCCTGACAGATACTCGCCGGAACTTGAAATGAAGGTGTGACGTATTCTTACGTATTTTCTGGCGTTACGTTGATGACTGGTCATCCTGAATGATCATCAGCCTGAACGGACACTCGCCGAACATGAAAGGAAGGTGTTACTCATAAAGAAACTGTGGTTGAACTTATTAATCGTCGTCAAAACCTACGTAGCGAGCTTGAGTAAATGGAGAGCGGTAAAAGGTTTAGAAAGCATAACAAATAGCGAGAAATTAAATGCAAGCGTAAGTACCCAGCTGTTATGTGATATCTGTCCTCATATATGCCAGTGAAAGTTGGATAATCTCTTCAAAGATGAAGAAGAAACTTGAAGCAACAGAAATTTGGTCCCACGGAATTTGCGAATACCATGGACCGAACATGCGAACAGCGAAGATGTTTCAAAGAATACAGGAACAAAAAGAAAACTTATCCTTAACAGTTGAAATTTCAAGGTTTCATGATAATGAGGAAAGAGGGCTTGGAAAATCTGATACTCTCAGGACAGATTGATGGTAAGAGGGACAGAGGAAAACAACGCATAACATACATACTCTATTCATACGAATCTATCCTAAAAATGTTGTCGGCATTAAATAACCCATTGATGTTGATATGCCGTAAAACAAAATAAACCAAACTAAACCAAACCAAACCAATCCACTGGAACAGACGGGATGCAGAAGAGGTTCATATGATTGCAAAGATCAACTTCTGATAAACACATGAAGACGATATAGAAATCTTAGCGCAGAATGGATAGATTACCGTAATTCTATTTTATTGTATTTTTTTAGTATTTTTTTTTTATTTTTTATATTTTTCTTCCCCTACTCGTCAGTGTGTTTGCCCATAAATACAGATTTTGTCCTAATCATTCTAACCTATCTAACGGTCCCGTTTCGAAACAAAAATCAGAAAAAGGGGAAAATTGAATGTCTTTGGGTAGATGCGAAAGTGTCTCGTCAGTATTCTCATGATTTAGTGGCCGACTATTCTTGCTTGATAAAATTTCTGAACTTGGAATTGTTTTCGCCACCATTCTTCCTCCTGTTGTTCTTAATTTTTATTGAAAGCATGCCTTCCAAGCCCTCTATTTGGTGAGGGCGGTGGATTGGCCGTTGATCACCCCCACCACCACCAGGTCGATGCTTGGACTTAAGGTAAGCTGTACATTCACTTGTTATCATGAGGAAGAAAGCGGACTAACACTCGCTGCCATTTATGTTGGCGCATTTATTATGACATGGCAATAAATCCGGATAACCTTATTTTCTTCAATTTCTTTTTTAGAATAGACAATGGGACTTATACTAAGTTAAAACTTAAAACTTAATGTTGCGAAAGGGTAAATGCAAGTGTCAGCCAGGACTCTTTGCAAATGACCTCCCCCTCTCATCGTTACCTCTGTTTTTGTTGTTGTATGTGTTATATGTAATAGGAGTAGGTAGGCTTTCCTACCGCCCGGTCCACACTCCGCCCCCTTCTCTTGGACATGAGTAGAGGCTTACGCCTTGTTTAGGAAGGGGTTGGGGTTCGTTCTCTCGTTCTCTCTCTCTCTCTCTCTCTCTAGTTGCGTTGATCTATCCACTACTCTTCTCCTCATCCTTTCTTCTGTCACTACTATCTGACCTTGCTCCAAATTTTCTGTAACCCCTTGCGTCCTAGTGGCTTTCCGCCTTGCTTGGGGTGAAACGGTTAAAAAATCCTTTGATAGTGTGCCACACTCTTGGATCTTTAAGAGTGGAATTGTACAAAGCCTCCCCCCCCCCCGATAGTAAATTTCCTTAAACACAGCATGGGAATGTGGAAAACCATATTACACCTAAATCCCACCAGAGGCACAGACAAAATTTATTAAGAGCTACAAAAGACTGGAAATTGTGAAGAACCATGATCGCCGACGTTCTAAAAGGACATAAAGAAGAAGAAGAATTGCTGGAATTTATTTATATGTCGTAAACCTCTGACATCCGTGTCACCATAGTGTTACGAAATAATAATTGAACCCGAGTAAATAGTGTGAATCCCGTTGATCGTGACAATCACAACACTTACAATCCCAAACTTATTAATCTCATTACAATCGATCGATAATCATTTCACAATTACAAATGTCTTCGGTCGATTCAATGACGAATGTAAACAAGACTGGCAGCGAAAACAACAACATCGCGTGCTTAATGATTTCAAAAACTTGGTCGTGTTAAAAAGAAACGGCACAGATCATCCAGATTCAATATGGCTGTTATTATCATTGAACATGTCGGCCAGAATCTTAACAACGTAAGATATGCAGATGACACGGTGTTGACGGCAAACATAGAAA